CACAGTGGCACCAGATCCCCTCTGTAAGGTGCCCTGTCCCCTAAGGGAGCTCTAATGCTGGACGAAGTACTATGATCTTCACCACACTCGAAGCACTCAAGCATATTTCAAACTATGCCCTCCAGACTTCATTCAAAACCAAAACAGGAGACCGCTGTGAGCTTGGCACAGGTGATTCAAAGATAAAGAAAAGACTTGGCATTTGTCCTTGATGAAAATTTTAGAGGGAAGATAGACAGATAACAGGAGAAATGGCATGAGGCTGTGAGGGATTGAATGAGATCCCTTTTCTTTCTCTTGTCTACAATTGGAGCTGATCTGGTAATGGCCCAAAGGGCTATATGAAGTCAGAGAAAGGCCGATGATAACCGGGGACCCAGGAGGAGGTCATCACTGACTGGGATACTGCAAGTCCCTGGAGAGTGCCTGTGTGCACTTGGGTGAGGGGTTTGCAGAGGAATAATGAATAGCAGGAGCATCTAGGCAGAGGAGCCAGCATGAACAAAAGTAAAAGCTCAAAGAGCACAGCTTAGAGAAGGCAGATCAGATGATTCCTGTGCTAGCAAAGACCAACTGATGAGGGGCGAAGGTAGGCCCTGAAACTCAAGAGGTCTGTTGTGCCTGTATTATGACACACTACGGAATACATGAGATGGATTTTGTTCGCAGTTGATGGGGCAGCCAGCACTGGCTTTGAGATCTAAGTGGCCTAGGGTAAGTAGATCATATTGGCTCCTGTTCAATGGGCACCTGCTATGTACCAGGAACTGTGCTTTGTTGTTTTATGGATCTTCTTTTCTAGCCTTCACGACAAATCAAACATAACTTTTCAGGGAAGGATCTAAGGCTCAGAGAGGTCAAGTAACTCGCTGCTCAAGATTACATGTTCTTTTTTTTTTTTTAAAGATTTTATTTATTTATTTATTAGAGAGCGAGCGAGAGAGAAACAGCATGAGAGAGGAGAGGGTCAGAGGGAGAAGCAGGCTCCCCGCTGAGCCGGGAGCCGGATGTGGGACTCGATCCCAGGACCCTGGGATCATGACCTGAGCCGAAGGCAGTCGCTTAACCAACTGAGCCACCTAGGCGCCCAAGATTACACGTTCTTAAATGGAGCAAATGAAATAAAAGGAGGAAAAGAATTTTTAAAATATGAATTTCAGATTAAACCATTAAAGCATGGGAATAATGAAATTTGAGTGTAAATTAGGAAGTTGATTTAGACGGTCATGTTTTAAAAGAAAAGGAGAATAGGAACACTGAAAGAGGGAATTTGTGGTTCAAAGTGAGGCCATTCAAGATTAGGGTGAGATCTCTTCATACAGGCATGTTTTGAAATGATGTAAGGTTTTTAATAATAAAAAGTGTTGCTTCTGTGTTTGAAAGTTACTTCACGATTATATTTCACGAGAGAGAGTGAGCATAATAATTAAGTGTGCAGGGTCTGAAGCCAGGCTGTCTAGATTTGAATTTTTACCCCCAACTTAACCTCAGCAGATGATTTAACTACACTGGGCCCTAATTTCCTTATCTTTAAATAAGGAGATATAATATTACCGATGTCATAGGATTGTTTAAGCACGAAATGAAGTATATGTCTATACAGAATAGTGTTTGGCATAAGTAAGAATCAGTAAGCATTAGGGTGCCTAGGTGGCTCAGTCGTTAAGCGTCTGCCTTCAGCTCAGGTCATGATCCCAGGGTCCTGGGATTGAGTCCCACATCGGGCTCCCTGCTCTGCGGGAAGCCTGCTTCTCCCTCTCCCACTCCCCCTGCTTGTGTTCCTGCTCTCGCTATCTCTCTCTCTGTCAAATAAATAAAAAAACTTTAAAAAAAAAAAAAAAGAATCAGTAAGCATTAGCTATCATTGCTTTGGGCCTCAGTCTTTATTCACCAACCATTTATTTAGAAATTATCTACAGTGAACCAAGGACTGGGCCAGTTTCCAGGAATCCCAAGATGGATTACAGATGATTTCTGCCTTTAAACACATTTGATTTTTTCCAATATCATACTCTGTGGCTCAGTAGAAATACTACTGATTACCTCTTGTTTAAAGCACTTTCCTGCACTATTTGGGCACCACTGATTTAAAATCTCCATTTACAATGTTGCTCATTAGTGTAAGGAATACTACCTCTGCTCCTCTTGCCCTTCGTCCAATATGGCATTAAGATCTGTTCAGCCTGAGCTATCTTTTATGACATGTTTCCCTTGACCCGCCAGGCAACATCCTGAAGTTAGTGAGATTAGTTCGGTAGCCCCCTCCTACTTATGTGTACCAAATCCTCAGAAGCTGAGTGTTTGCACCACTCCCTCAGGAATCTCTGGCTTGCTAATTCATTAGACTTATGTGTGATGTAGTATGTATTATTAATGGATGCATTTCTTTCCCTGAGAGTATTTTTTTTTTAAATATGCGTCATTTCCATAAGCTGGAGAGAAATGTTAATGATTAGAATTTTCAGTGCCATACATGAAAATTGTTGGTAGAAGGGACACCATGTCCTTTTGAATGTACCCACAATACATTAAAATGGACAGATGAACAGTCACGATAACCTCCGAGAAAAGACTGAAAAGGAAAATATCTATATAAATAAATGAGAAGGAAATGCAAAGAGCAAGGTTTAAGCATTTAAAATAACCAAGTGAAGTGATTTCGTGAAAAGCCACTTTAATATCAAGGAAGCCCTTTATAGTGGGATTGTTGAGACAGTGGTGAATTGTTTACCTGCCCAAAAAAGACAGACACAAAGTGGCATCTGATCACTTAGCTTTCTAATAGAGCCAGTATTTATTATAGGAAATGTGAGCTGATCAGATCAAGAGGCATCTTCAAGCAGCAGACAACCGTTACTGAAAGAGAGAGGTCAGATCCACAATCAAATAGAGCTGAAGCTCCAGACTTAAATGTGAATTCAGGAATGGGACTGAGGCCCTAAGAAGCAGTTCTCATCTGTACTTTGTGAAATGAATTTGAAAACTAAAAATCATATTTGGTACATATCTGAGAATTTTTAAAAATATTTATTTATTTGAGAGAGAGAGTGTACACAAGTGGGGTGAGGCACAGAGGGAAAGAGAGAAGCAGACTTCCTGCTGAGCAGGGAGCCCAACTCCATCTCAGGGTCCTGGGATCATGACCTGAGCCAAAGGCAGCTGCTTAACCAACTGAGCCACCCAGGTATCCCCATATCTGAGAATTTTAAAATCTTCTATTACTTTGATATGCAAAATAAGAATATGACAATGATTTTGTTAGCAGCAACAAATTAATGCTCAACATTGTACAGCTTAGAATATGACTTTCAATATATTAAGTTAAATTTTTTTCAGTGTAGAAAAATCCAACTTTACATTTAACTTGAAATGTACCTCCTGAGAATCATTTTCCTTGGGAGAAGCAAGTAATCCCTGTTCATTTTTTTTTCTAATACTTTTGGGAGAAATTAATGAAGGACTGGCTGGTCAATTAGAATCTAACCAAGAAAAGAGAAAACACTCTAAATATTTAAAACAGATGGAATTTAATCTAGAGAAAGTGTTACATGGATGGTGGAAGAATTGTGAGCTAACCAGGGGATCAACTGGGAGATCAGCAGAGGCAGGAAAACAAAGGCATTACCACCCACAGGGCTCAAGGGAGAAAGGGAAGAGGTGATATCACTGTAGCTCAGAGTTCAAGGTCACTGGGAGAAGCTGGAGACAATGGGGTGAGTCTTGGTGGGAGGAAATACTGCCCATAGGGGTCAGTCCCCATGGAACCAATAGAGTAGGAGCAGAGTAAGGAACGGACGAGAAGGTAAAAACTGGCATAGACCAGCAGAACTGGAAAACAGTGTTCAGTAAATATAGTTCTCATTTTCATTTTCTCCTCCAGAGTGTTACACTAGGCAAATTGATTTACTGATAGTTTTAAAGGGCTCTAAGCTTAGCGCCTGGCAACTGTGTTCCACAAACATCTTGTAAATAAATGAAATCACCATTTTAGTTCCATATATAACCTCAATAAACCAAATTTACACACCCCAAAGATTATGAGGGAATGAGCACCTTCACTTTGAAGTTAATAAAAAGCATAAAGGAAGCATCAGTGTCTTCCAGATTAGATTAAAGAAAGTGGTCAATGCTCTGTCAGTTGCATTGTTCTATTCAGAATTGTGAACAGAGGTTTATTCTGACGTTCTGGAAATCACCATTCTTCAAAGTAGATGATACAATCACACTTTGCAAACTGGACTCTGGAGGAGGTAGAAAGCCACACAACTTCCTGAAGACAACCACCACTCAATTCCTCCATTCCTCTCCATTCTGCTGAGAAATGACAATGGCAGATTGCCGACTAACAGTAAAGCGCCAATTTGCAGGCTTATGTCTTTTGTAGCATGGCAGGGTAATTATGGATGATGACATAAAGAATATTTATCCATCCATTTTACGGTCAAACAAAACCAGGCTTAATGTATGTGAGCCCATGTGTGTGCTTAATCATATACAGCAGTTTAAAAACCACACCTAACCTAAACTATGTCCTACTTGAATTTAAGCAGGCTAAAATATCCCCATGGGCAGCCTCTGAAATGTTACCCTTGTATCGCACACACAGACTTATTAATGATTAAACTGTCGTTACCACCATCAAATTTTCGTCTAGTAGTTTTGCCTCATTCTGGCTTATTACTCTGATACTAAATACTTCCATATATTTAAAAAATTAGATGACCTTTAGAATTGAATGAAGTATTCCAGCATTTGCTTAATGGGAGCCAGGAAGAACGTCAGGGTGTCTGTATCTCATACCTCATACATCAGGTGATTTCTGACAACAACAAAACCATAAAAGGCACAGAAACTAAGTCTTTCACCGTGCGGCCCCTCGCCAGAAGTAGAGAACGCTGATAACATTTAACCCCATTTTCTTTTTGTGTAAAGGAGAGAAGCACTTTTAAGGGGAATTAGTGCAATGTCCATCTTAAATTCTTTGTTTCAGATACACTTACCTAAAATTCAGTGAAGAAACAGCATGAACTTTCCAAAACCATCTATTTTCTCTTCTTTGAAATGGCAGTTGACTATGGCATCTAAAGATTTCCCAAGCACTTCATCCAGGGATTGGCAAATCTTATTTATCTGCAATGAGAAAATATACTTTTATTTAGCTAAGCCACTTACACTTACATGTTTATTACAGTCTGTAATACTCAACTCAGAAACTTGGTTTTCATTTACCCTAAGAAATATTTAGAAAAATGGACATTTGTGCCAAAAGTCACTTTACAGATGAGGATGCTGAGGCCCAGGGGGACTGTCCAAGATTAAGCAGCTGGTTAATAACAGACAATGTGGCCTTGGACCTTGGGGTCCTGACATACCTCTTTAGTTTTATTTGATTAAAAACTCCCAAAGGGGGAAAACATGGAATTTTCTGTGTTTCCCAAGTAGGTAATTTTCTGGAATATTGTGTCACCATAATTTCTACCAAAGTCAAGGAAATTACAGCTGAGGTCAGGGTCCTCAGACCAGCATTTCCTTTAATGATTTAAGCCTGAGCAATCCTAAGTAGGTATCCTACAAGAGTCCACTACCACAAAGGCAACCTGACATTATTTAATGATACGTATGATTTATTACATTATGTAGTAATAACATAAATAATAAATAGTTCATAAAATTGCCTATTAATATTTCTTAACAAAGCTGAATGATTTTCTAATCCTTTGCCTTCTGGGCAAACTCACAGAGAAGAAGTGGAAGAGAGAGGTTCAAGATGGCACTTGCCAGCAGATTCCCCAATGGTGACCCAGGCACCCGCTCACCATCTGCCACCAGCTCTTCTTTCCCACCAGTCTCTCTCATCCTTCCCTTGCCCCTTCTTCTCCTTACCAACTGCACACGCTGTATGTTACTACCCCAGGTGCTGGCGAGCTTGAAGCTGCAGGGAGTTGAGGCTCAGGAAATCTCTCAAATCTTCCTTCCTTAAGATGAAGGAAGAGAGTGGGATGGGATCATAGCAGATGAAGGAGAGAAGGCGTCTGATGGCAATGGGGGTGGAAAAGGAAGGGACGACAGGAGCCTAGCTCTGCACCCAGGATGGGAGAAAGGTGCCCCCTGTCTCCAGCCCTGTGCCTCCACTTTCCCTCCCTACTGACTTCTTCAACCCCGGTTCTTGATGAGGATGAGGATTACAGTAACTATGCTTCTGGCATCCTGTGATTTTAGGTTCCTAGAGAAAGTTCTATACAGTAACTCCCCCTTGCTCTAATCCAAATTTTCAGATATATTCATTATTGGAGGAGATTATTTCACAGGAGATAAAGATATTTTCACGACATAAGGAATCCTTGTTCTGTGTCACACATCAGAACCCAGCGTTCTTTCCCCATACTTAGATTCTAGGTACAGACATGGATTTGGCATTCTTTGAATTAAATGTATTATTACAACAGTAGTACTTTCAAGCATTTTTTTGTTTTCTTAAAGTACATGTTACTTTTTTTTTTTAATTGGGGGTTCAGGTAAATTAGAGCCATGCATCTGGGAATAAGTTATATATCAAAAATATTCTCTCTCCCTCACGAAGGCAGCTCTCTGAGCCCCAACATCAGGAAATAAAATGGAAATCTTACACAATCTTATATAATTTTCTATAAGACTATATAATGTATATCACACACATAAGGAAAGTGACATCTAGCTGTACCTACAATAGAGAGTCACTCAAGATATCCTTTGGTATTGGCCTGGGGACCTCTTAGGATCATGCTGCTGGTTTTTGCTCTTCTACCTGGCAACTTGGGGAAAGATGTTTTGCATTTTTGTTTTTTGTCTAGGTCCCTGGGTTATCTCAGACTGTAAGCGACTAGGAGTGAGACGATGCTCAGATGGAGATGCTGTGTTAAAGTACCCCATGGGTGGCTCAGGTTGCGCCTTACCTGAGATCTATGACTTCAGTAAAAGTTGCAACTTGAATGATACCTTGCTTGTAAGCTAGCTTTCTTGCTTGCTATTCCTTCTCCACCCAGGAGTGGCCCTGTTTCAGCTTGTATGTCACAGGCAGTGATCAAAAGCCGATGTTGAATCTGGAGGCAGCTCTCTTCCTATCCCTCTTGGCTTCTATCCCTTGTGACTACTCCAGAGTACGCAGAAACTGAATATCTATATTTCTTTCTGCTCTGAGCCGCAGGGTGATGGTCTCCCAAAGTGCCACTGAATTAAAGGCATCCATCCTACTCTCTCCTCTTGCTGCAGCGCATTGGATACTTGCAAAGCAAAAGTATCCCATGAACATTGGGTGGGAATAAAAAACAATACCTTTCTCTCTTCGAAGTCTTATTTGAATTCTACATCAGCTACCAAATTCTTGTTTGAATAACTTGTGACTAGAAATTAAAATTTAGTGTCATGAGATAAAATAAAGTACTCTTTTTTTCTAGCTCCCTGAAAAGCTTTCAGTCACTGTCTGGTTGAAGATAGGAGTCAGTATCTTACCACAAGAGAAAGGAGTATTTTGCTAATTTGGGGTGCCATATTTTAGACGTACAGGTTGAGCAGAAGTGGCAGGAGGCAGATTTTTGCTTAATAAAATAAACCCCTCAACATAGAGCACACAAAATGGGCCACCTAAAAAAGATAGTAATTTTCAAACTAATGGTATCGACTTAACTGAAGGCTCAACAATCACTTGTGGTGGTGGGATTTGGTCAAGCACATGCATTCATTACACAAGGATGGCGGAAGTGGTCACTCCAACTGAGAGTATGTGGGAGCCAGCCGGATATTAGACTGGGGTGGAGTTAGTAATCACATTTTTATCCATATTTATGCCCTTACTGATCTTCCCACCTAAAATAGCACTCCCTCCTCATGCTCTACAGCTCACTCTGATATATTCTCCTGCATAGCACTTCCACTATTTATTATTTATTCATTGTTCATCACTTCATATTAGAATATAAGCTCCACAAAGGCAGGAATTTTGTTCACTACTATATCCCTGATGCTTAGAACACTGCCTGATGCAGAGAAGGCCTGCAGTACTATTTATGGCATGAATAATACATATAAATTTACATTTCTTTTCTTATAAATATTTGATCCAATTTCCTCTTTCTTACCCCTATCAGTTTGCACCATGCTGAAAATAGTTTCATCACACTTGGAAGAATTCAAAGGCCTTTATTCACATTGAAAAATAAAGAAACCAAGTAGGCATTTTATCTATTTTCATTGTTATGTAGGAAAAAGTCAGTCTACAGGTTAAAAGGAGGATTGAAGATGGTGCTCTCCAGTACTTATGCTATAGTCTTCTTTTTTAGTTATGCTTGGGAGACTATTGTGCCATGAGTCTAATTTACTAGATTTCAGAGTTGGGGAGGGAGCCGGCTTTCAGATCCCTTTCAGATCATAGGAGGTTGGTTCCATGTTATGAGAAACAGCTACGGATGATGACGACCATAGACTGACAAGTGATATTCCAGAGAAATGCTAAGATGGAGAGCCACACTGCATTCAGAGACATATGAAACTTCGTCTTTTCTGGTGTTTGACATTGTCAGTTGGCATAAATTGTAGGGGCTATTAAAGGATTTTGGCTAAGAATGATGAAAGACAAGTATCTACTTGTCCAAATAATTTCTCAACGACTGACATAGGTTCCGTGACTCTTTGTTGTCATATTCACAAATGGCATGCTAGGGTCTCATGCCAGTGCTGAGGCTGAGCTCAGGGTCCTGGCCAACCCTCTTCTGTGGACACAGCAACAGTCAGATCCTCAACAACCAAGAAGAAGCTAGAAGGGGAAGAAAAACAATCCCGAAAAGTGCCTGCAGCATCTTCTGGTGCTGTAGATAGGGGACTGAACTATGATCAGAAGTTGGGGTTTTATTTTTGTCTCTATACTAACTGGGTTTCAGTTTTCTCATAGTAAACTGGGAGTGTTGGTCTAGACCGATGGTTCTCAACCCCCGGGGTGACTCTGAACCACCCCAGGGACATTTGGCAATGTCTGGAGGTATTTTTAGTTGTGGAGGGAAGGTAGGTGCAATTGGCATCTAGCAGGTAGGGGCCAAGGATGCTGCTGAATGTCCTACAATGTACAGCACAGCCCCCAACAGAAAATAATTATCCAGCCCCAAATGACAGTCATGCCATTTAGAACCATCCGAACCCAGGTGCAGATGGTTCAAGTCCCTCTCTGTTCCCAATACCATTCTATAATTTTACCACTGGTCTCATCTAGACCTCTGAAGTTGCACAAGGTAAACCTAATCCCCCTTCCGAAGCTTCCTCCAACTCTACATACCACATCGAGCTCCTTCCTATACCCCCAGCTCTGTTCTTAGACGCCCTCCACCCCCAGACCTTGATGGTTCCACACCAGCCTTTGAGGTCCTTCCTACAGCCTGTGTCACCATGTAAAATTGCCAGGGATTTTCTCATCTCCCTGTAAGAACATGTGCAACCAGAGGGCAAGGACTGTCTTGTTTATTTCCACATCATCTTGAGCATGTCATCTTTCATGTGGATGATCCTCCTCATTAGATGTTTGTTTGAGTAAATGACTGCTGATGGAATAATTAGTGAGCACAAAGCTCAGCATCTTCTCACTCGGTATCTACACGGACCTGTGATATAAACCTATTCAGATCATCTCACCAGATTGTTATTTATTGGTTTAAGAATGTCAAAGTGCCTTAGGAAGCTACAGTAAGATGGATGTGGGGTAGACACAGATACAAACAGGACTAAATTGGACTAAATTGAGAATCACCCCAGACACAACAATAGTAGGGCAGAGTCAGGGAGAAGACTTCTGGGAAAGAGGCCTTTCTGGATGGCTTTAAAGGTGGGGACAGAATAGTGCTCAGGGGCACTTGGGCACCCTCTCTATTCTAAGGATTTGTTCTTGTTGACACAGAGTTCATCTTGAGAACCAGGCAGGTCTTGGCTATTTGTACATATTTCCTATTAAGGGCATAATAGACTGTTGCTTTGAGCTCTTAGGATGAAGAGGCTGTGGCTCTGGGACAGTTGAGCTGTTCAGATCCAGTGTGGCCCTACCACAGAAGGACAAGATCACACAGCCTGGTGGACTCCCCCATTGGGGATTCTAGGTCCCCAGGAAAGCCCTA